GCCACATGTGGTGCAATCACTTTCAAGACTCAATCGCCATTTCCATTAGTATCACATAGTTATGCGCCCCCATTTCCGCTTCCAAAAAGAGAGGGAAACAAAAAGATAAAAAGGTTGATTGGTGCATATGGTTATTTTTCATGTTGACGATTTGAGTTCAAATCTCATCCTATGAGATTATAGTTAAGCTAAATATTGGGTTCTGCTTTCAGATATAAACCCATCAACTTCGTCTAAGCCTTTGAAACAAGGAGAGGAGAGCTCACACCCAAAGAAGACTTCTGGCCCCTTGAAGGTATTGTCTTCTTTTTGGCATTTTTTTTTTCTTTTAAATTTCCATTCTTACTTATCCCATTAACACACACACACACACACACTTAAGGTTGTTTTGGGGAAGTTTTATAAGTTTTCAGCTGTAAAGATTGTCCATCCCATTTATTTGTTAGGTTCTAGCAGAAATTTGGGCAGATAAGCTCGTAATTGTTATATTCCTCATTTCTGTATCATATTGGGTGATCATGTCACTTTTATAATCTCGATACATTCTTATCAGAGGAAAGGCCGCATTTCTCCTTCAAATGCAAAGAAATGGGCTGTTGAGGATCTTAAAAGAACCATATTATGGCTTGAAAGTCAAGATGAAAAGGTAAGCTGCAATAACCCATCATTTAGGCATTTGCTTTATAAATCTTCCTGAAAGTTGTTATTGGCAGAACCTTTAAGAAATTTAGTGGACTCTTTTATATTCACTGATCCTAACGGATATATATTTTTAACAATTAATACAGTAAAGATTTACTAAGTGATTACTTTAGTTGTGAATTAGAACTCTTAAAAGTGACGTGAATTTGTTCCTAAAGACACTCATTCTATCATGATTAATACGAGTACCAGCTGAGGATTCTTATTCTAAAACATCAAATTTACTTTTGGTTCTTGTAGCCAGAGCCAAGTGAGATAAAGAAGATAGCTGCGGAAGGAATCTTAACCTGTTTGCAGGACGCTATAGATGCTCTGAAGCAAGGGGAGGTATAAATTTCTGGTCGATTATTTTATTGTTCATCAGTTACTATCTGGAAAAGATAAAAAAAAAAAGTGATTGATCAACCACAACATTGTATAAGCAATGAATCTACTACTTAGCTATGTTCAAGACAAACTATTTCATGGAAATAATAATTTCTAATGAACTGTTCTAACGGTTGATTGCTATAAAAATTTGGGAAAAAGGAAAAAAAAAATGTCAGAACTACAAGAGCCCCGTTTGAGATTTGTTAAAGTTTTACAAATTTAGGCCTTGAATAATCGGAAGTTCCATTCTGAATTTAAGTTTAATCACATCCATGAATGCTAAAAGAACAAGTTCATACCAATGGCACCAATTTATTCTTTTTCGACGCTCATATATAGTTAGTTTCAATTTTAGCTCGAACTATATCTTTTGTTTTCAGAGCATGCAAAAAATAGCTGAGCAATGGGCCTGTCTTCCTAGGGTGATTGAGGAGCTCACTCAGTTTGACCGCAAAAAAGATGGCATGCCCAAGGAAGAACTTTGTCGGGAAGCCATGGCTTGTAGGCAAATATACGAGCTCGAATTTCTCAATATGGAGCACGAGGATGTTTTTGTTGACAACAAAAGACCAAAAAATCGAGAAACTAAAAAAGGTATCGAGAAAGATAACATTGCTAGGGGCGACACTTCTTGTGACAGTGATGCAACTATAGAGATGACCGAGGAGGAAATTGATCAAGCTTATAACAATGTTGTGTGTTCTTTGTAGTCTAGCAGAATAATCTTGTGTTTATATCTGATCTGAAAGATAATCCTATTTTCAGTTCTTTTCCCTCTAAATTGCTCTTGTTCGGCTCTGGTTTGCAGATTTTCCGTGTTTTTTTCATCTGTTTTTTACGTCTCCATTCTTTCTCTGTGATCCGAGGACTAGAATGAATGAATCGTCTCAATATAGAAC